TTCAATGTTTTTATCACCTTTTTTGTAAATAGGTACCACCTTGATATTTTTTAGCTGATACGGAAAGACACAACCCTCAATCAGACACTCATTAAAAAGATACATCATTACTTCACTTATATAACTAGCAGATATTTTCATAAAAAAAGACGTCAAGCCTGAAATTTATATATATATATAGCCTATATATATATAGATTTATATATATATATATATATATACATCCGTGAACGCGATAACTTGAGTAATTTTTGTCCAATTTTGATGAAATTTGGTTTTAAGGTGTAAAGCGGGATAAACTTGATGAGTTTGCGAACCAGCACGATCGGACCATGGGAACGGGGCTTTACGGGTGGTTTTATGGGGTAAAAATTGGTTTTTCTCACTTTTGACCCTAAAAATACAAAATTTCCCGATTTATCTTAAGACCTTTTTAAAGAGCTTAAAAAACAAATAATTTAGTATATAAAAGTATTTTTGTTCGATTATTAGTAACAAAGAAAATTAAAAAAATTGTAAATTTAAAATTCCCATGTTATTCTTATGGAGAATATTGTCAAATGTTGTAGTTTGCTTGTTTATGGATATATTTTGATTAAACTTGGCAAATTTATTTATTTATTACTAAGCTATCAATATTTTACTCAAAAACACACTTTATTAGTTTCCTTGTAGCAGCAAACCTAGGTACTCGTTAAACCTAATGTTATTAAAATATATTTAACTGAAAATCAATTCAGACAAATGGAAATTCGCTTAGTCGGCAGGTTTGCTGCGGCGGGGGTATTTTATCTCAATGCGGTAACAGCTATTAAGGTTTAAATCCAATTTTAGCTAGATATTACATAGATAAATAGATAGAAAAGTTGTTTTTTTACAGGACCAAACATTTAAACATGACATCTGATCCAGCTAACATGATTTTATCTCTTTTAGCGAATTTCCCTATAGGGAATAAGCTATTACCGTAGGTCTCATGGTAAGACTTAGTCCCGGGACCGATTTACTTTTTCATTTTGATGTTCCTAGAAGCCAAAAACACCATCCGTTCAAATTCATATATATATATATATATATATATATATATATTTATATATTTATATATATACTAGCTGACCCGGCGAACTTCGTATCGCCTAAGTTATAGGTTTCCCCTAAGACAGACCGATGGAAAGAAAGTACCGTTACGTTTAATTTTCAAGATGATCTCGTTCGCATCGCTCAATCACGTCCTGGTTGAAGTTCGTTCGCTACGCTCACTCACCTTTGGGTTGGAGCTCGTTCGCTACGCTCACTCACCTTTAGGTTGGAGCTCGTTCGCTGCGCTCACTTGCCTTCAGGTTAGCTCGTTCGCTACGCTAACTCGCCTCCAGGTTGAAGTTCGTTCGCTACGCTCACTCACCTTTTGGTTGCAAATTAGCTGTTGTCATAAATGTAAAAGAAATAATAGTGCTGCACCCTGTTGGTAATCCTTGTAACTTTAATGCTATTGAACATCATAGAACAGAACCAACTTGTTTAATTGAAACAGCTGTTAAGATTCATTAATTCCATTTCTCATAAGGTTAACATGGGAAACTCCAGAGCCACTGGGGCGGAGCCCTTTTAAGAATTTCGAAACGGGAAATAGTTTACGTCCGATTCGCATACCTACAGAATTTACACACCAAATTTCATAACGATCGGTGAAGTCGTTCCGGAGGAGTTTGCAGACAAACACTGTGACACGAGAATTTTATATATTAGATATGTGTGTCCGTCAGCACGATAACTCGAGCAAAAATGATCCGATTTCGATGAAATTTGGTACAAACGTGTAAACCTACGTTTATTCGAACGAGTTCGCGAGCCAGCATGATCAGACCATGGGAACGGGGTTTTATGGGGGGATTTATGGGGTAAAAATTGGTTTTTCTCATTTTTTACCCTCAAAACATAAAATTTCCCAAATTTCTTCTAGACCATTTTGAAGAGCTTAAAAAAACTAATAATTCAGTATATTGAAGTGTTTTTGTAGGGTTATTGGTTACGGAGAAAATTATAAATTAAAAATTCCCATGTTATTCTTATGGAGAATAAGTAAACTTTTGTAGTTTGCTTGTTTATGCATATATTTGGATCAAACTTGGCCAATCGATTTATTTTATACTAAGCTGTTAATATTTTACTGAAAAACACACTTTATTACCCTGTAGGCAGCAAACCTAGGTACTCGTTAAACCTAATGTTATTTGAATAGATTTAATTGAAAATCAAATCAGGCAAATGGAAATTCGCTTAGTCTGCAGGTTTGCTGCGGCGGGGGTATTTATCAAAATCTGTTGGGAATTGGGTGAGTACGCATGTTTGATTTCATTTCACCCTGTATTCGTTTTTTTGTACACTATTACTATTTTACTTTAGGTTGGCTAGTGGTAACAGCAAGAACTAAAAAAAGGTTTAGAATAGGAAATTGTCAGTGTTTTTATTAAGCTACAGGTTTTATTCGGTCTAGCTGCTGTACCCATGCTTTGCAACTGGGAAAACAAAACAAAAATAAACGGCATCAGCAATCAGAAGCATCTTAGGGGGTGTCAAGAACCGATGAGAACCTATTTGCGAAGGAGTGGGGGGTGTGACGTCACTCTCCTTGAGGGAACACCATTACCACAACGATACAAAGAGATGCCATCGGTGTTCGTGGCATAGTGGTTGGCTTACCCGACTGATGTCCATGAGGTAACCAGATCAAATCCCACCGGTGACATTAACTTTTTGTCAAAGATTTTGCTTAGAATGTGATTACTCTTCTTAACTGTACATCCAACTGTTAGAACTTGAAGCATCTATATATCTAATTCCGTAAGCCCAAAACTTTACAATGAAATTGTGAGCGAACGGGAGGCCGTAGAAAGCTGGGAGAGGTCTCATTTTAAAGGTCTGAGCATAAAATTTTGGGGAAAATTATTCATTTTTCTTAATTATGCACCAAAAGGTTGTTACGGAATAAAACAATTCACATTTAAATAGCATGGGAATCTAATTTTATGTCTTTTTATTTAGTGCAAACACAGCTCTGATTATATAAATTGAAATAAACGGTATCAGCATTCTGACACATACTTTCTCCCATAAGTTTGTCAACAACCTTTATCACGTGTAAGCGGTGAGAGTAAATATACGGAAATGGGATCAGTACAATTTTGATCATAATTTAAAGGATTATAACATACAAAATTTTTATCAAAATCATTCGGACCATTTTTGTGAAAATCCGATTTTCCCGTTATTTTATGGGGTTTTTATGGGAAAATAACATAATCTACAATAACTTTTGACCGGTTATTTTTACAGAAATGGATTTGTACCATTTTGTTCAGAAATAAAGGACAATGACATACAAAATTTTTATCAAAACCATTCGGGCCGTTTTTGGGAAAATCCTATTTTTTCGTTATTTTATGGGGTTTTATGGGAAAACCCCCATTAAAAATCAAAATTTCTAAAAAATTGAAAAAAACTATGAATGTTGTAAGGACCATTACATACTATGTTAAATAAAAAGCGTTTTTTTTGTAATCCTATTTTTTGTTATTTTATGGCCATGGGGTTTTTATGGGAAAATAACATAATTTACCATAACTTTTGAACCGTAATTTTTTTAGAAATGGGATTTGTACCATTTAGTTCAGAATTTAAAGGGCTACAACATACTAAATTTTTATCAAAATCGTTCAGGCCATTTTTGAGAAAATTCGATTTTTCCGGGTTTTTATGGGTTTTTATGGGAAATTCCCCATTAAAAATCAAAATTTCAAAAAAATGAAAAAAAACGCCTGGAGATACCATGGATTAGAACCTACATACCAAATTTCATCGAAATCGGACTACAGGTGTAGTCTCTAGCTCTGTACACATCCAGACACACACACACACACACACACAGACATCACTTCGAAAACCACTTTTTTGGGTCCAGGGGGACCCAAAACGAATATCTCCACTCAAAACTCAAACTCGAAAATTTTGACGAAAACAATACTTTCTCCATATACTATGGTATAGGGGGAGAAAGTAAAAATACAACCACACCTGAATGTGCATTATTTTGTTATTGTAAAATTGTTAGTGAAGTAGTAAACAGCACAAAGTGAAAATTAGATAAAATCTTTTGAACAAAAAATTTGATACTTTTAACTTAAGAAAGCTATATATCTTTACAATGGTTTGCACAGTAATAATGTATAATGTCGGTGTAATATTTTATAAGAACAAGATAAAATCTAGTGTACCGGTATTCAATTTATTCTCCATTTCAATCACAACTCAATTATTATTGTTATTTACAAAATTAACAATCAGAACAAAACAAAAGTCTTTAACATCTGGAATGCAACCAACATTATAAAATCAAATGCTGCTTCTTGTACAATTAATATAAACATATATTACACTCGCCAACACTCTTATATTTGCTTGGCTCATAATACTTTAAAACTTTAAAATTTCTTCTGACTCTTTGGCTTCTCCAACTTTATAGATCCAATTTCTCCGGCTTGTGCACAGTGTCCTCTGTGATCTCCTCAAAACTGTAGTTGGACTGTATTGTACACCCCGTGGTTTCCCAACATCAGACTTCAATCTAGGCAAATAAGGTGAAGCATCATGTCTTGATATTGATGGTGATGTAGACTCCTGAAGAATAGGCAAATCTCTATTGAATTCTTGTTGATGTGCCTCAATAGTCCTTCCAACTTCCATGGCAAACTCTTGTTTTGCCAAGAACACTAACCAAATAAGTAACTGGACTTTTACACTGTAATATACGACCTGGAACCCAACTAACTTTCTCCTGTCTGACTGTTTTAACCCACACCTTCTGATTTTCATTAAAAAATCTACACGCACCTCTATGCCTCTCTGAGGCTCGTTTCTGCATTTCCTGCTTCTTCCTTGACTCGTCTAGTAGATTAGGTTTTAACATAGTCAATTTTGTTTGAGGTTTCCAACGTAAGAACAGTTCAGCCGCTCACACCGGTTACTGACGATGGAGTATTACGATATGCGAAAAGAAAGTTATCCAATTTATACTGCAGTGATGTCTGCTGAGATGATTTTTCACCCAAAACTTGCCTTAACAAACTTTTCTTAACTTCTTGAACAGAACGCTCGGCTGCTCCATTGGAGGCAGGGTGATATGGTGGAGAAAATGTTAGTTTTACACCATTTTTTCTAAGAAACTCCCTGAATTCTAGACTGGTAAAAGACGTGCCGTTGTCACACACCAACTCCTCAGGTAAACCATAAGCAGAAAATAGTGTAAGAAGTTTCTCAATGGTCTTCCCCGTGGAAATAGAACCCATTACAAATACTTCCATCCACTTTGAAAAACTATCCACTACAATCAACATTTGCTGTCTGGTGGTTGGATCTTCAGCAAAATCGATATGAATTCGGCGCCATCTCTCTGAAGTTAACGGCCATTGCTGCAATGGAACTTTTGAATCAGCATTTCTTGTACTTTGAAAAATCAAACAAGATAACACAGCATCCTCAATTACTTTTTCGATCCCAGGCCACCACACGTGGCTGCGTGCCAACAATTTCATTCGAGTAATTCCAGGATGTTGTTCATGCAATATCTGGATGACTTTACCTTGCAATTTCTTAGGTATGACTACTCTACTGCCCCATAAAATGCAATTTTTATCCACTGACAATTCATCTTTCCTTCTCTGAAATGGAATTAACATTGGGTCTACAATTTCACGCCACCCATACAACACAAAATCCTGAACTTTAGACAACAGTGGGTCTTTATCAGTCAATTGTCCTATCTCTAAAGAAGTGATTGGAGAATCGTCACTCCCCGAATTGAAGAAGTTCATTTCTCTTACACAAGATTCCACATGAGATATATAATTTTCATCCAACTCCAAAGTTTCATTCTCGGGTAGTGGTAAGCGTGACAACGCATCAGCGTGAGGCAAACTGGAACCCTTCCGATATTTTACCTCAAAATTGTAGGCAGACAAAATCAGGGCCCATCGTTGTAGGCGAGCAGCAGCTAAACTAGGCACCCCTCGTTTCGATCCAAAAATAGCTGCTAGTGGCTGATGATCACTTTGTAAAATACAATTGGTACGCCCATAAATGTATTTATGGAATTTCTTCACTCCAAAGATCAGTGCCAACGCCTCCTTGTGGAGCTGTGAATAGTTCTTCTCACTGGCACTCAGTGTTTTTGATGCAAACGCTATAGGTCTTTCTTCTCCGTTTATGATATGGGACAAAATGGCAGAAACTCCTTTAGGACTAGCATCACAAGTGAGCACTAAAGGTTTCAAGACATCATAGTGTACTAAAACATCAGAACACAGAACCCAAGATTTACTTTCTTTGAATGTTTGAGAACATTGCTCGGTCCATTTCCATGGAACATCTTTCTTTAACAGTTCATAAAAACAATGAATTTTAGCAGACAAGTTTTGAATAAATTTTCCATAATAGTTTATTAAACCAACATAAGCCCTTAGCTCGTCTTTACTAGTAGGTTCAGGAGCTTTTTAAATAGCTTCAACAATACCTTGTTGTGGACTGACTCCTGATGCTGAAATGACCTAGCCTAAATATTCCACTTCAGGCTGTAAGAACTTGCATTTACTCCCATTAACTTGTACTCCAAATTCCATAAGACGCTGTAACGATTTCTCCAATCTATAAAAGGCTTCCTCTCTTGTTGAGCCGCCAACCAAAACATTATCTAAATAGGCTACAGTACCTGGTAATCCGTTTATAATTTGATCAATCACAGCTTGAAATATAGCTGGAGCTGAAGAAAGTCCAAATGGCAGACGTCTTAGTCGAAATAGTCCCTTGTGAGTTGTTAACGTCAAAAGAGGTTGTGAATCCTCCGCAACAGCTAATTGTTGATAAGCATTAGTGAGATCCACAACTGAAAAATATGTACAACCAGACAGAGAAGCAAATATATCCTCAGGTTGAGGTAATGGATAATGTTCCATCTGTAACACCGGATTCAATGTTACTTTGAAGTCTGCGCACAATCGGACACCATTAGTCTTGGGCACTGTAACTAACGGAGTAGCCCATTCTGAACTAGAAACTCTGTACGCTATACCATCCTCAACCCACCGATCTAATTCTTGTTCTACTTTTTCCCTTAACGAGTAAGGCACAGGCCTAAATTTGCAAAACTTAGGAACAGCATTGTCCTTGAGAGTGACTTGAGCCTTAACACCTTTTATTTCTCCTGGCCCCCCTTGAAACACTGCATTGTATTTTTTCTTTAACGCCTCTACTTCAACCTCAAGTTTGCCATTAGGCAACACAACTTCACAATTAGATTGCTTCAATTCACATGTGGTAACATTCACTGTAGACTTAGATTTAGTACCAGTAGTATCATACGATCTTGAAAATACAGCATGCCAACCCAACTTTAATTTTGCTAACCAGTTCCTTCAAAGCAAAATAGGCTGGTCTTTACGACAAACCTCAACAATCAATAGTGGTAACACTAGGTTCTGGTTTTTATATAAAACTCTAACCTCAGCTTGACCTAGAACAGGCACGTCACCACCTGTGTAAGTTCGCAATTTCATAGAAACAGGCTTTAGGCTAATTCAATATGAGAAAAATGTTCATTAAAAACGTCTGAAGGACAAATTGATACAGCTGACCCGCTGTCAATTTCCATCTCCACCAGAACCTTTTCTATAGTTAGCCTTACCTTGTAAGCTGCCATACCTGTGTTTAATCCAAAGTTGTACAAACACACATTAATTTGAAACTTCATTGCAGCTTGAGCTAAGCTCATTGACATCATCTTCGGAGATTTGATGGACTCTATTAGCACCTGACTTGTCCTTCCTTCCAAATTTTGCAACTTTACTTTGGTTTCGGCAAGCTTTTAGTAGATGCCCAACCATGTTGCACCCATTGCACTTATAATTTGCATATGGACATTCATTGGCCCTATGTTCAACTGAACAACATCTGTAACACTTAAATTTAGCATTAATATTAGTCATACCAGCACCAATAGCTGAATTGAAATGACTACCAGTCTGCCTATTTTGATTCACATGTGAAGAATAGGGCTTGGAATTTAAATGACAAATTTCCTGTTTTGGATTGAACAAACTTGTCTGTTTTTCAGCCTGCTCTAATCTGAGTGCCAAACTATAAACTTCATCAAATTCTTGATCCTCAGACAATAATTTTTGCCTTATGACCTCATTACTTATTCCTGAAATAAGCTTGTCTCTAAGAGCCTCTTTTAAGAATGTGCCAAATTTACATGAACTAGCTAAATGTTTAATCGCTACAACAAACTCTGAAATACTCTCACTAGGTTTTTGCACACGAGAATAAAAATTGTATCTCTCAGCTACCACCAATTTCTTTGGAGAAAAATAGTTCTCAAGCACTTTAACTAACTCTTCATAACTTTTGCTATCTACAGCTGCAGGTGAAACTAAATCAGACAAAATTGTTAAAACTTTTGGGCCTACAACAGTTATTAAAACAGAAACTTTAGTATCGTCATCAATCTCATTAGCTTTGAAATAATGCTTAAGCCTCATTGCATATGATTCAATGGACTCATCTTGTGGGTTAAATTCACCAATCTTACCTATTCCTAACATCTTAGTCTTTATGTTTACCTCCCTTTTTTTTTTTTTTTTTTGAAGTTTAGATTTATCTTCTTCAGAATCTGGTATATAAAAAAAAACTTTACTTTTACTAGACTTACTATCACTCGGAACGAGGTCCGTTTAATTTGACTGCGCCATTGTAATATTTTATAAGAACAAGATAAAATCTAGTGTATTCAATTTATTCTCCATTTCAATCACAACTCAATTATTATTGTTATTTACAAAATTAACAATCAGAACAAAACAAAAGTCTTTAACATCTGGAATGCAACCAACATTATAAAATCAAATGCTGCTTCTTGTTGGCACGGTATTAATGGAAGAAGAATAAATGAGCATCGGATGAACATGAAGTTATTCCTGTGTATAGATTACCACTTTTAAAAGAGATTGCATAACACAGCATAGCGCCAATGAACGTTGGATGCATTCGTTGTGGTGCATTGCACAATTTGATTTGGTGAAATTGTGGCGCAAGGCCGAACCTTCACAAAAGTTGGCATTTATTTGAAAATCCCAGTGTTTACCCATGGTCAACTTTATGTTGCTTTTATATGTGTAAAGAGGGTAGATGATGTTAATAGTACTAGAACCAAATAAAGGCCAAGGAATAGACCAAAATGGATACTATACAACAAATGTTGTTTCAGAGAGATTTTGTTATAGAATTAGCATTTTACAATTTGGATGATGACATTATCTCTATATGTGTTTTTCTAAGTGAATTTGTCTATCTTTAAAGAAATCTATATACATTTAATTAATAGTCATGAAGATTGTTATTGGAAAATGTTCCTTAGTTGTATTATGATTTGAAAGTTTATATCATAAACACACCACATGTCCTTTGGAATTTGTATTTTAAATAGAGCAGACATCAAAACGCATTATGCAGGTATGTAATAACTATTATAAATATCATAATAAAAAAAAAAAAAACTAAATGATAATTCAAGATAGGGTAACCCATGAGACTAATAATTTGTAAAAAATAATTACTAGAATATAGGGGCTATTGCCCCTACAAGCCACTAGTTTATAATTTAATTTTATGAACTGAACTAATTTTTTTATAAGTAAACTTTCATTAATTTTTATCTTGTATCTTTTTTATAGTATCAGCAAGTTTGGTTGGTTAGGGTTAGGTTATGATAGTTTAATTTTATAATTAGAAATTATAAAAATAATTTTACAATTTAAAAGGTAATTTTAAAATTCAAAAACAAATTTTTCAATTTTTTTTTAATCAACGAGAGAGGATCTCCTACAATCTCCCACTCTTTCGCAGAAGAGGTTCTCATCAGTTCCGGACCAGCCCCCTGAGAAGCTAGTAAGACACATACTTATTGGTTTATTTGAAACAGCTGTCAATCCATGACATCTGTTTTTATTCTTTTAGCGAATTTCCCTATAGGGAAGTAGCTATTACCGTAGGTGGCATGGTAAGACCTAGGCCCGGGACCGATTTACTTTTTCATTTTGATGTCCCCAGAGGCCAAAAACACCATTCGTTCAAATTTTTATATATATGTGTGTCCGTGAACACGATAACTTGAGTAATTTTTGTCCGATTTTGATTAAATTTGAATTAAAGGTGTAAGGCAGGATAAAATTGAATGATTTCCCGAACCAGCATGATCCGACCAAGGGAAGGGGGTTTTATGGGGTGAAAATTGATTTTTCTAATTTTTGACCCTCTAAACACAAAATTTCCCAATTTCTCTCCAGACCTTTTTAAAGAGCCTAAAAAAACAAATAATTTTTTAAGGGTTTTGGTAAAATTATTGGTTACGAAGAAAATTCTAAAAAATGTTATTTTAAAATTCCCATGTTATTCTTATGGAGAATATTGTAAAACTAGTGTACATGTTGCTCGAATTCGAGCAATTGGAAAGTATTACAGGAGTTATTTCAAAACGAATAACAGTCATATTTACAATGAGTTTAAAAGAGTCAACTCAAAGATTACCGGAGTGTAACTCAGACCATGTTTATCTTCGTTATTGATAAACCTTAAGCATTCCTGCCGGTTTTCTCCTTTTCAAAATGCCTCGCTGTACAGGCAACACGGATCATTGATTGAGGGCCAATTGAGAAAGAAAAGTCGTTTTGGGGCAACGATATAAACAACTCATGTAGTTCTTTACATCGTTGTTTTGGGGTAGTGTTAGGGCGCGTTTGTAACCTAATAGTTGAGATTGTCCAGGGTCAGGTTCTGACTGTGATGGCGCCTATTACACGCCACTGTTCTGTAGCTACGGTCGTTATCACGATTACGCCTCCTGTCTATGTTTCGTTGTCGTCGCGTAGGAGGCATTTAAAAGAAAAGAACAACAAATAAACAAATTATAGCTACACAAAACAACGATAAATGCACAAATTTAAGTTACAATCATACTAACACAATCTGTCATAGCGACACAAAAAAACGATAAATACACAAATTTAAGATACAACCATACTAACACGATCCGTCTTGGGGGTAATGTTTACACAAACTCAAATAGTAAATAAATGTACTCAATGCGTTTCATTGAATTGAAAAATAAATAATAGCAATTAAATTATACAGCTGATCAAAATGTAAACAATTATGTTCTTCGTAAGGATAACATAGGAACTTTCAAAGCCACTGGCAGAGCCCAAGGGACTTTAAAAAAAATTTAAGGCCAGTTTGCAAATCCACGCGACACACTCTTTCCAATGAGACGTCAATGGATACAATTGGTTAAGAAATGGCGGAGGAGTTCAACCAACAAAAGTTTCATGTAGCGTATTAATTATATAGATGTTGTAGTTTGCTTGTTTATGGATATATTTTGATCAAACTTGGTAAATTTATTTATTTTATACTAAGTTATTAATATTTTACTAAACACACTTTTTACCCTTCCTGTAGCAGCAAGCCTAGATACTCATAAAACCTAATTTAATCAAATACATTTAATTGAAAATTAATTCAGGCAAATGGAAATTCGCTTAGTCGGCAGGTTTTCTGCAGCGGGGGGATTTAAATATTCTTTCAAAACCCCTGACATAGTGACATGGGTACCTTTAAAATGGTCCCAGGCTAATCCCTAAAAGTTATCACAAAATTGATGGTTAATAAACCTATTCCTTGAAATTCTACATGTATGTAATAAGTTTCGTGGCCATCGGTCCGGCAATGTCTGAGTTTATCACTGCCAAATATATATACAAACCAATGTTACAGGTCGACGCCTCTCTTGTAGTCTTCGTAGAGGTTGGGAGCAGGAAGAACAAATATTAAAACTCACGAATAGGGATCAACTAAATTTATTAATTATCAAACGGTTAATCTTTACATAATCACAGTCGCTTACAATGATACAAGAAAAGAAACAACTAACACTATGTAATCGCGACTAACAGAATATTAAATGATTTTAACACTGAATTTAGAACGTACACGGACTTAAAAGAAAGGAGTAAGAGTAAAGAAAGGTGAGACCGCACGCGGCGGACCTTACCGTCGTCCGCTACATTTCGGCGCGATCTGTCTACTTCGGCGTTGTCACTTGTCAGAGCGGAAGCTTCAGTGTGGTCACATGACCATCGTCAGCCAATCAGCGCACGCTGAGCACTCAACCCATGATTCAACGCAGCAATATTTGCTCGACTGGTGCTGCGCTCAAACGATTACAACAGGCATTAATGAAACTAACTGAAGCGAGAATGAAGCTAGAATTGTCACATTGTTTATCGCGATCCACGTGCACTGCAAAGTCAGCACACTCCAAGGTGTATCCGGCCAAGGCACGACGTCTGGTTAGGATTATTGTAGGGCTACAAAGTAATGACATGAATTGGAGTATGAGTTATAAGGTTCACTTGGAGACTTATTTGAAGTTAAGCAAAATACATTATTGCTAGATAGGGTTGATACATCAACCTAGCAAATATTCGGTGATAGCCAAGGGCCAGGTTTAGGGAGTAAGGCCAATCAGCTGAAGCTCAAAGTTAACAAATTACAACAAAATGAGGCAAATATGCAGGCCGTCACACCAACATCCTCTTTTATACTGATGGTACCATTAGTCTGTGCTCGTGGTTGTAACAGCTGTCATGTGGATGCGGGGAGGTGAGGGGGCTCTTTTCTAAAAACATTAGTCAGTTTTGCTGTCACATAAAATCGCTGTCAGTGTTTATTTGTTTGTTTACCTTTTTACTTGTAAACAGTTCAATGTTTTGTTTGTGATATTCTTAACCTTTTTTCACGTTTTTTTTTCTTAATTTAATATACACACACATTTTTCTAATTTTGTACCTTTCATTATCATTATTAGGTGTACAATTTGAGAATCCTTCTAATTATGTTACAAGATGAACATAATAACATAGCATAACAACAACATAATTTAAACAAAAAATCGGAACCTCAAGTCGCAATTGGAAGGCCAAGTTAATAAAGGTGACTATCCTTCTTAGGGATTAGAAGAATGTGACTGCTCCCACCGAGGGAAAACGTGTGAAAACAAACAAAATACCCATAAAATTGCTGAAAAAGACAAAGATTTCACGTCAGTTCTAAACTACACCACAAAAAGGTATGACCTAAGGGCCTAAATTAGTATTTGACGTTAAAATACTGAAATATGAGAAATGTGAAAGAATGAGAATATGTGAGTTGGATAACTTCATGCTGATCGCTCATTTGCTGAAGTAAAGTGATAAGAAGATCGGGATCTTGGATTAGAGGAGAAAATAAGAACACGAGAACGATTTATTTATTAACCACGACCATTCATAGGCCTACTGTCTCGTTGAAATGTGGAGTTCTATCGCTTATGGGTTACTCGTTGACGAGGACGGTTGTAAAATGAGTGGACTTTCCTAATTTACTGATTGTTGCTAAATTTATAACCTTTGTTGTTTGGTTATTTTCACAAGGTCTTAGTATAAATATGTTTGTATACTTAATTAAAGTCTATAATCATCTTATTAACTGGATGCTTTATTAATTCATTTACCCATATCCAAATGTAACTGAAGGATTATTTTTTGTTCAGATTTCAAAAATATAAACCACTTTGACAAATCTTGTAAAATTGACGACTACTAAAAGACTTCTTTAAGCTTATGACTGATTTTTATCTAACCGTGGCTGTATTATCATAAGCATATAATATCAAACTGAAAATAAATATAAAACACCAGTAAAAGCAAATGTAGGCCTAAATAGTTGAATGATAAAAGTTGATTAACAAATTTTAGTTTATTAACTATTTACAAGGTAAGGCCTGTATATATTTTAAACGAGGTCTTCAATGTCACTCATATCATCGTCTTCTTCGTCACTGCTGTCGCTGTTTCCTACTGATATGACCATTGATTCCACGAGGTCGTCGATCCGCGGCTCAGCTGAAGCATAATTATTTTCAATAGTTTTTACATGGTCGCACTTGTTTTTCCACTCTGTTGCACCAATGATATCAAATTTTTCCTGTGCCAATGAACGGATGCTCTCGAAGCTACAATTTACGTTTCTGCTAGCTACGTAACCTTTTACTTCAGCCCAAATAAGTTCTATTGGGTTTAGATCTGGGTGGTAGGGGGGGAGACGAAGAATAACATGGTCAGTACCCGTGAGTAGTTCATCAATTTCATATCGAATGAATCTTGGTTTGTTCAGCAGTACAAGCTTATACAACTCGGGAACCAGCATTTCGTTTGAATATTGTATTCCATGTTTGGTTAGCCAGTCCTTCATTTCTTGTTTCCTACTATTTGATGTGGGTGCTTTGTCTAATTGCGCATTGTGATAAGGTGCGTTATCTACAACTATCACGGACTTCGGTGGTATGTTCGGCAGAAGTTTCTCTTTCATCCACTTGATCATGGTTTCCTTCCTGACATTGTCGTGATAATCACCCGTGGTGCTCGATGCCTTCCACATCGTCAATGCGTTAGGGACAAAACCAGCTTCACTTCCTGCATGAATCATTATTAGGCGTTGTCCTTTAGAAATGGGTACACGCATTCCCTTGGTTGAGTTGTCAGACCACGATAGACTTGAAACATGGCTTGTTAAAATATATGATTCGTCCATGAAAATAATAGTACGACCCTCATTTCTGAAACGTTTGACTGCTCTCAAATAAGAAATTCTCTTTTCCCGGATTTCGTTTGTCTCAATCAGCATTTTTCGGTTGTTCTGCGTTTTCCTCCATCTGAATCCAAGCTCCTTCAGAATTCTCCTAAGGCTTGATTTTGATCCTTTGAAATCTATCTGTTTTTTTAGTTCCTCGTGTAGTAAAGAAACTGTTGGTAGTATTTTATGTTGAATGTGGAACTCATACACCAAGCGTCTTATCAAAGCCTTATCAAAATCATCCACTCCAGTGACGGGCCTTTTTCTGCTTTCTTTTAACTTACTAGGAGTACAAAAACTTTTGTAGCTATCATCGTCATCATGTATTAGTAGTGCTTTAAGTTCGCCATTAATCTTCGTTATGACTCGCTCCGAGACCCCTGTTGCCACTGCTGTTCGGGCGCGAGCTTTTGCCAAGGGAATGCTTACAGCTTTATCGTCAGCCTCTTTTTTCATAAACTGGTAAACATTGCTTACTATTTCCCGACTCTGTCCGTTCAGCGTCCTACCCTTCAACTTACTTTTCACTCTGTCACACATAATTCTATGTATGCCGAATACGTTAAAACACAGTATTAAACAAAAAACATAGTTAAACTAAACTAATCTTTCCGTTAAACACACTCTGCTATAATAATATTTAGAAAAGAATATAAATATTTACTTTTTTCAATCAGGTGATTCAATTAGAAATTCGATTATTCCAGCTAGAAATTTTATAGACGACTATTGGTGTGAGTGAGACCATAATGGAGTGAGTGAGCCCAAGTTTTATAGAATGGCTAGTAGAGTCAGATCCGCGCGCACAGACTAATGACACTGTCTGTACTTATAGGTGTTCTGATACATAACAGTCATAACATGGCAGTATCTTTAACTTGCATCTTACTAAGGCTATTCCAGTATGGAAATTCCCTACAGACAACCAGTTTCATTATAAAGAGAAAATGTATAACATAAGTTCACCATACACACATAAGTTTATATCAGGAGCATTTTCAGCAGAGTTGTAAGAAAACCATTTTATAAATAAATTGGAACTTTTTTATTTCTTAGTCCAAAGATTTATGCTTAAAGTTTATACTTTTATTAAAATTTAATGTTAACCTTCCGTTTGGCGCATTGATTTTCAAACACCAAAGGGCGCTCACAGATGTTACCTCCAGAAATACAAAAACTATACAATGAGTGAAAAACAATTTAATAGCAATAAAACTGTAAAAAAAACATTTTCTATGAGTTATTATACTATTACCTAAGTTGTATCTTTGACTATGTTGTAACTTCTTTAAGACTGTTCAATATTTCATTTATATAAATAGAAGAAATAACGAACAGCAGTTCGGATCAAGATTATTTTTTCTAGCTGTCACTGATATGTTTACAAATGTTGTTTACAAATACCGCAACCATTTCCAATCACGTTTTGAAGGCAAATCACATCCAAGTGAGATTAAAAACGTTTTTCTTACATAAAGGATTTAATAAATCGCAAGTGGAATAATATAGTGTAACCGTAAATTAAATTAAATAACTAGGCATCATCCAGGTCAGGAACCAGAGATTCTTTGTGTATAAAATTGTTCTTGAGTTTTGATAACCAGAAAGAAGACATTGAATCAGTGTTGTATACGGCTGGGAAACTTAAATTAAATAATGATCGTCGCCAATAGCTTAGAATCAAGGTTCCACTCATTGACGGCACTTCAATGGCGGTTGTGTAAAGTGTAAAGTAAAAAATCACAACTGCAGTGGGTGATTGTAACAGAGGTTTACGGATGATGCTAAAATCCATTTTCCAATGTGTCACTTTCTGTTCCTACCATTGACTATAAATATAGTCAATAGTTCCTACTCACCGTGTGATGCAATCGCTGGACCATACAGCCAATAGGCCCATAGCCCATCTCTTGGATACGTACGCCTACCCAATTATTTATAACAACCTTTTCGACGACGATCCTTGATACCGGTACTTTTCCCTAGAATACACGGCCTACCTACTTAAAAAATAAAATTACAAACGTCCAAAACCCCAACGTTGTGTGATTTTTGTCACATTTCCTTTTAATGTTAATAGATATACCAATCATTGTTTAGGGAATAACAGTATCTATTAAATAACAGAAAGTTGTTGTATAAGGTTGATTTTTTTTTCAAACTGACACCGATAAGTTTACATTAAGAGTTGATTACAAATAAAGCAATTAATGTTAAATAACTTTGATTGCCGATAACTTTTTACGAGAAAATCCAAAACCAAGAGATCAATAACCTTGATTAACGCATATAATTGGTCGGATGTACTATAGTTCTTAACTGTAAACGTTGGTTTTTGGTACTGGTTCTTTTCCTTTGAAGGTTCCTTTCGTTGGTAGCAGCAAGAATCATTTTTACCTACCAACACATTAGCACTTTAATTTACAAATTAGTTATCGTTGGTGTTGCACCTTATTTATTACAGGCGTATTCAATTGAATTGATGTTTTAACTGTATAAGTTTTGCTTTTTATGTCTGGATTCCAAAATATTAGTTTATGCTAAGAGAACGATAACGCATTTTAGTAAAACATTTATTCAGCAAACCATCATGAATTGTTCAAACGCTTTGAACGTTGTTTATGTATCAATAATTTGTGGCCTATTTTGGTAATTTTTGTTATAAATTACCAATCTAAATCATCTATAGTACTTCATTTCATATAGCAAGCCAATTCATATAGCATTTCGACAGAATTTTGGGTCATCTTCGGTCTAAGCAAATATGAATTGTTATGAACATTTTTGACATTAACAAAGATTTAAAATACATCACAGGGCGCGCACGGAAGCTACTTCCAGATGTGACGCTAAACACTCCCCAAGGTCGACTGACAACTGGGAAAGGGGTGGGATTAGCCGAAACTGATTACGCGAAAGAGGTGTATGAGGTATGTCAGGTGACAGCCCTGCCGAACGTAAACTATGGTTTTTATAATGAAAAATGTAGTGACCCGGAGGTAAATTCCGTGATGCTCCCGATGGAAGTTTAAGTAAATAATTGATACAACATTTTATGTTAAAATTTATTTGAATAAATATAGGTATTTGTACAAAGTAACCACCGCTTATAATAATTCAAAAATACACTAGTTTTTTGGGCTTTTTTCATGTGTTTTTCTCAGGCTCTGGTGGTTTATTGCTTGTAAGGGTTTCATTATAGTAACGTCTCTTTAAAGTACGATACTTTTTGAGCATATAGAGAGTTTCAAGCTCTCTGACTACATATTCACCATGATGTATCATCTTCATAATCTTTTCTGGATCTTTTTCATCCCGATTTTTCATAAAAGCTCGCTTCAATCGTGTGCGGAAAAAATCATAGCCCAGCGGGTAGTCTTTTCCCAGGTAGAGTAACTGTAAAAAACATTATTTATAAAAAATAATTAAGAGGATCTATTGGTATATGGTTGCAGCTGTTAAAATAAAAGGTATCAGCAATCTGACATAATGCTTTCTCCCATGAGCTTGACAACAAACCTTATCATGGATAAGCGGAGGGAGTAACTATGACTTTTTTTAAAGTCCACACACAGACATCAATTTGAAAACCACTTTTTTTAGTTCTGGGGGACATAAAACAAATATATCCACCCAAAAGAAAAACTCAAAAATTTTGATGAAAACAATACTTTCTCTGTGTTACAGCCTTTTCAGTTAAAGTTTACAATTTTGTAAAAATGCATTACATATGTCTAAAAACTACCTTTTAACACTACCTTTTGGGGAATGTGTAAAAAAAAATTTAAATATGGGAAAAACTGTATCAAGTAAGCAAATGCTAATATTATACTTAAAGGCTAAAAGAAGTGCATTATGTGTGAGGTTTAGACGGTTTCCTAGTTGTACGACAAAATTTGCTTAATTGAAATGAATCTTCTCTGTGGCTCCAGAAAATTAGTCCAAATTGGACGGGGACAACACCTTTGCAAGTCACTGCACGAAGTATAAGGACAAAACGATGCGGCAATTCTCTGTTATGTTGATTAAGGGACCACAGACAAAACTTGTTGGTCTTTGGGTGCGGGAACAACACAATACTCTATAGCACTAGTTGCACCTGCCACTCATGCATTCCTTATGTGTTTATTGTCGCTGCTGTTGTGTTGGTGGCCCATATTTTGTCGCCTAGCAAAATGTCGCCCTCTGTAGTATAAGGCGGCCATCATACTACAGAATTGAAACATAGCATGCTAATTCTTGGTTGTTATACAATGCATAATCTATCCATCCATCTATCTATATCTACATACACTAGGCTTAGCCGGTTTTTGTTAATTAAACTAATTTGTTATTATTGGACCTATTTTGACATCTGAGGTCTGAAATAAAGGTTTAAACATGTGGTTGTGTCCACCTGTATTATATTTTTGATAAAGTCATTGATAAGGGTGTGAGCGGACCTTAAAGTCTGTTTTATTCTCCATAAGGATAACATGGGAAATAATTTTTATTTACAGAAACATACAGGGTTTGACAATTAAGTCTGGAACCTCTTTTTTAATTTTTAAACCACAATAGAAAAAAATACCAAAGTTCACACGTGTTTGTAATGGAAGGGGTCAAATTGTAAGCAGGAAGAGATTGGCAATGTTGTGTGAGTAGGCTGGTAGTGTTGTTAAACAGTAACAACAGTGTTGTGCTGACCTTCTGAAGGCTATTGCTTTAAGTAAGCCAGTGCACTTGATCAGGGGGACAGATTTGTGTGAAGTAGTGAGTGTGGTGCACCGGAGGACAGGGTCCTGCTGGGGGAGCTGAAGCACAAGGCCACAGGTAAGACAAAGTTAACCCATTGGAGACCGAGTATTTTATTCACTGACAATAGCTAAAAACCCTATTAAAATGGGCCAATTTGCAAAGGTTTACAAAAAAATCTGTAAAAAAATTTTTTTTTACCTAAATACATAAAACTTATGTTTTTCTTTATCTAAAATAAATTTTCTTTTATGTAATGTGGTTTTTACTAATTTTTTTTTTGTTTTTGTTAAAAGAAATAAATAAAAAAAAAATATTTTTATTTTTATTTTTTCAAAAGCAAACATAAATTAAATGCATTTTTTTGAGCCCATGAGTCATACAATTGATATATATGTGTGTAAAATTTAATTCCTTACGTGGAAATGTCATTATCTCTGTAGGATTTATACTTTTTTTTATATATTTATTTTTGTAAATCATTACAAATTTCAAAATATTGCGATTTCTCAATAAAACAATATAATAATAAAAGGACTCTAAGTTTTTTTGTTGTAATCCATTTTAATAATTATTTTGGTAAAAATTATACATATTATTAGCAAAACATGAAAAAAATTAAAAACTCACCATAAGTGGATTTTCTTTGCGACCGAGACTCGTTTGAAGAAGCACACAAAATCTACAGGCTACAATTGTTCACCGACACACTTATGAAAATGTCCATGATGTACAATGTTTTTCCCATGGATCATCTTCCATATACAAAATGAATTAAAAATGGTCATGTCCATTAGGTAAAAAAACAATTTCTTATATGACTTGACAGCTCTTCGCATAATTGGGTGGCTGGCTAACATCTGGTCTTGAACGTCTATGCCCAGCATACCTTTATTGTAATCAATAACGCTTTTGGGTTTCAATACTTGCCTGACTTCTCCCCTCCTCTCTATCTCCTTGTCCACAGTCATTTCTATGCTAGCATGAGTAGTTGACAGAACATGAACATCCTTACGGTCTTTCCATTTTACCGCAAGGATACCATCCTTACTCCGCCTCATGGCCTCTCCAACTTCCAGGCAGGCATTGTCAAAATCTTCAGGCATATTGATTCGTTCAAGATTTACTGTTCCTACACAATGAGTGCTGCGTTGAAGTAAACGTTGACATAGACCAGGGGAGTTATACCAGTTGTCTATAAACAACACATGGCCTAAATCTAAGACCGATTCGGCCAATTGCATGACGACGGCTTCGCTAGCAGGGACGTTTGGGGTCTTGTCATCGCCGGTATAAATCTTAAAGTCTCCATAATACCCATTGGAGCTTTCACACAGCTTATAGATTTTTATTCCAAATCGTGCCCTTTTTTTAGGATTAAATTGTACGTAAGATAGCCTAGCTCGAAGTTTGACAAGGCTTTCATCAATGGCTAAATCCCTTTTCATTGTATATACGTGCATATACTTTGTTTGAAGGTAAGAAATCACGGGCCTTAGTTTTTTAAGCTTATCATTTCGATCAGTGAATTCCTCATCAGCAAAATGCATAAATCTAGAAATTAGCTTGAACCGACAGTAAGACATAACCTGTGCATATATTGGAGTTTCTAAGATTTTTCTAGCCGTCCAATACATTTTAATTGTGGGTTTCCTCACTTGGCCCATCAGTATGTAAAGAGCAAAGTATGCCTTCAGCTCAGGTACCGTCAGGTCCTGCCACTTGTCATCATCTTTTAGTCTGCGCCTATTTGGATTTACTAATTGCCTTGCAGCATAATCATTCGTTTCACGACAAACCATCTGAAAAAACTCATCTCCCAAAAACTCTTCAAAGCACTGAAAAGCCAAGGGGTTATCTCCTAGCTTTCTAGCTGAGAAAGGGTTCAAACCGGACTCATCAACATATGGAAATTCTTTTACAACGTTGTCTTCATCCGCCCATATCCAAGCGTCAGCTCTTTTCTTTCTTTTCCTTTTTTTCTTTCCTCCAGCTTGCTCATTTGTTTCTTGTCTTCCTCCTCTACCCCTTCCTTGCCCTCTACCCCTACCTTGCCCTCTACCCCTACCTTGCCCTCTACCCCTACTTTGTCGAGTTCTACGGCCCCGTACCGTTCCTTGCCCCATCCTAGTCCCTACAGCCCTTGGCCTATCCCCCTGACCCTGTTCCTCTTCATACTCCATTGGTTGTGGGGAATCGTTTGGTCGATTTTGTTCTATGCATATTATGTCTAAGTTTGGTTCATCTATGCCTAGGTTAAAGTTTTGGTCATTTAGGCCTAGGCCTAGGCCTAAATTAGAGCCTATATCTTGGTCCACATTGGATGTATCATACCTGGAATCATCAGGTTCAATTTCAAATTCATCATTTTCACCATGAATGTCTTCGAGAGCAACTGTCTCCAATGCATCGTAGTCACTATTGTTGTCTAAATCTGAGTCATCACTTTCCTGCAGAATCCTATCGATCTCACTTGAAAATATTTGGTTGAATTTATTTGGCGGACTTGCCATTATTTATAAACTCATTACATAAACCACTTTCACAAATTCACACTGAACAGTGAACACAGATAAAATACAGCTACTTCAAACTGACAAAACAATAACAAACAACAGATGTCATCTGTTTGTACTGGACTACCAACACTACGAAAATAAACAACATTGTAACAGCTTAGAATTTATCAAAGAGTTTCAAAGGTAAAACAATTTCGTTTTCAGAGAGATAACTGAGTACTATAAGAAAACCATTCCAACTAAAAACGTGGAGCTGTTTTAAACTCCCTATAAAAACATTTATCAGGATATTTTTTGGTTAGGATATATATATTTTTTTTTAACTATAACTCTTTATTTATATTTAGAAACATTCATTGAAATGATTAAACTTAAAATAATTTTCCTTTAATTAAAAAAAAACATAATGTCGTCATCACGAGAATGTCCCGTGATGAGACTTTTGGTCCACCATAACCTATCACGAGACGTAATCGTGATAAGTCTCCAATGGGTTAAGGGTTTTTTAAATTGGGGTTTAGAGTCTTTTCCAAATTGGGGTTTAAGTCCCTAACTAAATGATTTATAGAGTTCCAGTCTACTCTACCTTTTAGTTTGATATTTATCTTTGTGTTCTTTGTACTGTTTTGAGTAATATTAAAGTTGGGTTTTGTAAGTGAGTGCTGAGTTTTATTCCTCACCCAACAGTACAGTAAAAGTAACAGTGGGTACCTCAAGTAGAGAGGGGTCTAACCTCACATGCTTACTGGTGACAGTAATGCACACATCTGCCCAATTACTGACCGGATAACCCCTTTAGGGTCCACAAGGGGTCAGACAAAATTCTTAAATAGCAGCACAGGTCAAGTTTTGTATCAAATTAAAGGTCTCTGTTAGTAAAATACAATGCTACCAATCCAAGCTCAAACGGACAACCAAGTCAAAAATGGCAGTCATTCAAATATTTCTTTAATCTGCCATTTTGAATCTTTGAACGGCTGCCATTTTTTATCCAGCAGATATTTTGAGCTCAAATTTGTGGCATTGTATTCTACTAATAAATGTATGTATAAAATGAGTATGTATGGGTATGTATGAGTGTATCTATAAGTATAAAAGAGGATGTTTGTATATATATTTGTTTGTTTGTTTGTTTGGCAGGGATAAACTCGGACACCGCTCGACAGATTGTAATGAAACTTTTAGGCATTATTAAGCATTATTCAAGGAAGGTTTGTGTGAAGTTTGGTGCAGATCCGTCAAAAGGGCTCCGCCCCAGTGGCTCTGGAGTTTCCCATGTTAACCTTATGAGTACTCATATTTAAATGGAATTAATGAATCTTAACAGCTGTTTCAATTAAACAAGTTGGTTCTGTTCTATGATGTTGAATAGCATTAAAGTTACAAGGATTACCAACAGGGTGCAGCACTATTATTTCTTTTACATTTATGACAACAGCTAATTTGCAACCAAAAGGTGAGTGAGCATAGCGAACAAACTTCAACCTGGAGGCGAGTTAGCGTAGCGAACGAGCTAATCTAAAGGCAAGTGAGCGTAGCGAACGAGCTAACCTGAAGGCAAGTGAGCGCAGCGAACGAGCTCCAACCTAAAGGTAAGTGAGCGTAGCGAACGAGCTCCAACCTAAAGGTGTGTGAGCGTAGCGAACGAACTTCAACCAGGACGTGATTGAGCCATGCGAACGAGATCATCTTGAAAATTAAACGTAACGGTACTTCAATTATAGATAGTCAAAGGCAAGACAACGTCTGCCGGGTTCAGCTAGTGTTAGTATAAAATAGTCATAGTCTACCCCTGGTACATAATAATTGCTGTGTATTATGACTGTTAGTTAATGTATACTAAATTTTAAATCAAGTTTTGTGTAGCTTAAAGTTTACTCATGATGTATCTCTCTACTTTATTTTAATGCTGGGGATAGAAAAATTTAGTTTAGAATAAGTTACCATGATTTAAAAAACTTTACTATAATACAAAGTGTTAACAAAAGAAAGCCGGAATTTTAAATGGTAATTGCTTAGGAACTATTCAAGGTAACTAAATGTTTTATGCATCAAATTGAAGCTAAAATAAATAAGTTTTGTTTCCCTTGTAGCAAGGAATGAAATGTTGACCTTGGCATGCGCAAAACAGGTAAGGGGTAGTTGGCCGCCACTGCATCTCACACGCCTGGCGCCAGTTGCCAGTACGATGTTTACGGCGCAACAGAAGGCACAGTGTGTAGTCTTTGGTTCGAAGAGTTTAAATTGTTTGCTTAATAAATTAAACTAAATTTATATCTACTTAAGGGTAAAGCAATTCGATGCTGGATTTGTGAGTTTTGTGGCACCGTAGTCTTTTGAAAGGACATTCACCTGCCCGGCTAAAAACCAATGTGACAGAGTCAAAGAAATCCGACAATTCTGCATCAGTAGCCCAAAAAATCAATGAATGAATTGTTTCAAGATAGTGTAGATCATCATGTCAGAAGAGACATTTTGTTTTGTTGTGCTGTCATATGCCGGAGGAGGCGCATACACAATTGATTTAAACAATAGGATACTAGTATACCTGTTGCTCGAATTCGAGCAATTGCAAAGCATTACAGGCGACTCAAAGATTATGGAAATACTCACGATCTACACAACAGTTAGATATAATCAAAATCTTTTGTAAATACCGTATCTTATCTTTTTTCAAAAAGCTGATCTTGTTTTTTTAGGGTAAAAAAAAAACATTATTTCTATTTCTTCTACTTGGCTATGTTCTATGAATTTTTCTATGTTTCCATTGTTTGCAAATCGGTTATTTCAATGATTGCTCAAGAAATGTAGCACAGTGTTAATTCAGTTTTATTTTTAGCCTATATCAAATTGTCCAGGATTTCTCACTCTTTTCCTTTGTAATAATTACTATCTAATTATTATTAGAGTCAATATAGGCTATAACAGGATGAATTTACTTACTTTCTAAATTCATAAGGTTGCCATATCCCCAGATTTCTCTGGAGATAACCGGATTTTGACATTCAAAATTTAGCTCTTGGGGATTTCTGCAAAAAGTGAGAAATCCCCTCTTTTTTACTCCTTATTAAAATACATTGAATAACGACACTTTTGGAATAAAATAAATATTTGTGTCCGCAAATATTGCTAAATGCAACTCTTGTACTCTATACTAAAGTATTTTTATTCCTTCGTTTCACTTTAACTTTTTACAGTAAAGCTTTATTACTGTATTATATTTTTGACTTAGAGTCAATATAGGCTATAACAGGATGAATTTACTTTCTAAATTCTCATGTGTTATTTTGCGGTGCTTTGAGCTGGATGGGTTCACTCTAGTATTTATATAGTGATTCTGGCAGGCCATTATATGGCCTCAAATAAAAAGTAACTTAACTTATTTGAAATTTGGATGTTATTAAAATGTAGCCTATAATGTTAAATTTATTGGCCGACTGATAATATATGAACAGACATTTGAAATAGGCCTAAATGGACCTATGAATGAAGAAATATTATCATTAAGAGTGGATCAAGAAGCGCAGCACCACATAGGCCATTTCTGGGTCTCGGAAGTCTAAAGAGTTTTGAAAATGTCTTCTTCAACAAATTACTAGAAAAATTAACAGTTTATATAGTAATTTATTGAAAGTATATGCAAGTATATTGCAGGCTTCACTTCAATTCAATAACATTTTTTTAAATAGCCATTATGTTGGGTGTGTGGCCAGCCTAGTGATTAGCGTCTCTGGCTTCAGTGCAAGAGAGATTAGTTCAATCAGCAAGAAGTTCACAAAATGTTGATTACTTTCTCTTAAAAGCACAAAAATCCTGCATAAAAAGTAAGGCTAGAAACAGAAATAACAAAAATTAGACATACTCACAGTTTTATAGAGCTGAATGACTTGAGCTTTCTGCGACATGCTTAAGGATCTAAAAAGATAACAACTTATAAACATTTTTTACTATTAAAATATATTAGGTGTAAGCTGGAACTACATCTATATAATTAATAATCTGGTTTGTATATATATTTGGCAGCGATAAACTCAGACATTGCTGGACCGATGGCCACGAAACTTTGTACATACATAAAGAATTTCAAGGAATAGGTTTATTAACCATTAATTTTGTGATAACTTTTAGGGATTAGCCTGGGACCATTTTAAAGGTACCCATGTCACTATGTCAGGGGTTTTGAAAGAATATTTAAATACCGCCGCAGCAAACCTGCCGACTAAGCAAATTTCCATTTGCCTGAATTCATTTTCAATTAAATGTATTTGATTAACATTAGGTTTTATGAGTATCTAGGCTTGCTGCTACAGGAAGGGTAAAAAGTGTGTTTTTAGTAAAATATTAATAACTTAGTATAAAATAAATAAATTTACCAAGTTTGATCAAAATATATCCATAAACAAGCAAACTACAACATCTATCTAATTAATACGCTACATGAAACTTTTGTCGGTTGATCTCCTCCGCCATTTCTAAACCAATTGTATCCATTGATGCCTCATTGGAAAGTGTGTGTCGCGTAGATTTGCAAACTGGCCTTACATTTTTGAAAAGGTCCCTTAGGCTCTGCCCCAGTGGTATTTAAAGTTCCCATGTTATCCTTATGATGAACATAATTGTTTACATTTTGATCAGCTGTATAATTTAATTGCTGATATTTATTTTCAATTCAACAAAACACATTTACATTTACTGATTTTGTTGAAATTAAATCTTATATAGGCTACTAAAAACTTTTGCAAAACTTATGACAGCTAGCCTGACCATACTACTGGAGACAATTACACGCAGTTGGTACCAAATGAAAGATATTTACCTGTAGACGTGCTGAATCCATTAATAAATTAAAATAGGCTCAAGAATAAGCACAAAAAATGAACTAAAAATATTAAAAGATTTAACATGGGCCATATGGGTTACCATGTTGGTGATGAAATAACAACAAAATATAAACAAAAGTCAAAACAAATGGAAGAAGTTCCAATCACACGTTTTATTTACAGCTTGGAGTGAAAATAGTGAAGTTTGCACAATACTTACTTTTGGTCGAGTTTTCGACCACGGGGCAAGCTCTCGTATTTACTATTTTAATTTACTAATTTAATTTTATTCGTACATATTACAATGCAAAAATTTGAGAAAGCTTGGGCAATTTCATATATTTTACCAAATAAGAAAAATGAAGTGACAGGGTACTGTAATTATTGAGCAATCATTGAAAGAACCAATTTGTTATAACCATGGAAACATAGGAAAGTCATAGAACGCCACCAAGTAGAAGAAATAGAGATTTAAAAGAAAACCATTTACTATCGTTATCATCCTATATAATGAAGAACAACTAAAATATGAAGATTCCCACAAACAATGAAGAAGCATGTTAGCCGAAGTGTTACTATTTTGTAGGAAACACTACTTAACTTTACGATGATTGGCAAAGGAAATCACTCTAAGGCTGAATTAAACTGGTACAGCAAGGACATTAAATATATGTTTTCATAAAAGTCAAGTGATTTTAAAATAATATGACTACATCCAAGAAACCTTAAAAAAACGTACACTGAAGGATTTGCTAGGCAGAAAATGAGGCAGTTCTTAAGTAATGTACCTAAAAAAAATGTTATCGCTATAAAAAAATTACTGACATTTGTAAACGTACTGGCGACAACGAGAAGTATTATGCAGACTACATTATCATTGGCGAAGATTAACATGGACAACCTAATGTGGCTATAAATGGGAAAGATTTGTAGAATACACTAAAAAACCAGATCAGCTTTTGAAAAATGATAAAATATTTAGAAGAAATGTTGATTATATGGAACTGTTAAGGTACATTTTGCTTGGAGCGACAGTCGTGCAGCAACTGTCGCCGAGCGGCTGTCACGGGACACTGATCTTAGGGGTTTTGCATAGTCCTGTTTTGCTTGGAGCTACTGTCGCTTCTACTACATTTTCGTTTAGGTGATTCAAAAAATATTTTTCTGTATAAATGGTTATTGGTAGGGCCGGACTTAGGACTTCAGGGGCCCCGGGCAAATTTTCCAATGGGGCCCTAAGATTTCAGTTTAGGGGGGGTCCTCTGGGGGGAGTAGGGGTATAGAATACCCCCCAAGCCAAAGGGGGGTCCTCCCCCGGGAAAAATTTTTAAATTTAGGCTTCAAATAGAGCAATTTAAGGCCAAATAAGCAATAAGTTCTATATCAAAAATCGTTCATGAAATATAACTATTTTAACATATTTTTATATACAGCATCTTTTAATTTTATACACAAAAAAATTAAAATGTTTGAAACCTAATCTCATGCATTCACTATTCAAACAAACTCTGACCAAATGTTTCAATTGCTTTGTAGTACCAGTGACGGCATATTTTGTATGGTAGCATGGTAGGCTACCATAATATATTTGGATTAGAAGTATTGATATATTTTTGTTTATTACGTATTTAAATGATCGATTATTGACGTCGATTTGTATGATTTTTCAATATTACTCCAATATAGGTGTGATTGTTTTCATAATGGTTTTGGTACCTATGGCATTCTCGTTTTTATAATATGTTAAAGTCCTAGCACGAAAAGTACCATTGAGGACTTTCAAGTTTGAGTATTTTATTGACGAGCAAAATCTTGCAATGTCTAATAAACACTCACAAGCTAACTATTTATATGAGTGACCTGAAAGATGTTTAAATGGATCCAATATCGATTAATACAACACAAACATAGCATTGAATACAACATTACTTACTTCAGCTTTGTTTTTGTACTGTTAGTTTGCAGAATTACAATATAATAACACAAAAGTAAGGCAATTTTAACCAACTTGACGTGACCACTAGTCTCAAAGGACAAACTATGGGAGTAAAGTGATTTAAATTGTTTTGGATAGGCGATAAGGCATTTTATGTGTGTGTATGCGCGTGCGTGAGACAAGACAGGACTAGACAGGATCCCTTTTCAGCTCATTATCATTTATTGTTGCAGCTGCTTCTACTTAAACGCTCGCCCACTCCCAATAAATGTAATTTTTTGTTAACATCAGACGACTCTAGTTGTTACAAAAGAAGGCCATTTGGTAAGTGTCTGATCAATTTTCGAAGTTATTAATAAAAACTACTGTGCAAGGGGGCCCCTGCCCTCAGTTCAAATTTGCGGCATTATATTCTGCTAGTAAAGACCTTTAATTTGATGTACATGTCAACCTATGCTTCTATTTAAGATTTCCTTCTGACTCCTTGCGGGACGTCCCCATGATATGACAGAAAATTGATAGTTCCTTAAAAAAGTAGATTTTTAGGTGTGGTGTTGATGTGCAAAATCTTATTGATTTATCTGTTGTCGTTTATAAAATAAACCGGTCCGGGACTTTTGGGACAGTCTGTATGTATAGGTACTATAAACAATTTTAAACAAATAATTTAGCATTAAAGACAGCAGACAAAACTAATATGATTATCAAAGCATCAAGGACTAAAAAATGTAATAGCAAATACAGTAGCCTATATGTTTCATTGCATCTCTGATTCTACTCTACAAAAATAGCAACAAACAACTTAATATACAAACCAGTTCTTTTAATCAGTTCCATCGTCCATTGCCTTTACATTTTCTCACTTACCATTAAGTAAACATAGTAACAGATATTTCATTGATTTTAGAAACAAAAGAACACTGTGTACCGCTTAGTTTTATGCTATATTCCTTGGTTTAATTTAGTCAGTGGTGTAGCAAAACAAGTAATAAATGTATATAAAGTAAATGTGAACTGAAAGCTATGTCAAGATAAAATAAGAGTATTTTGTATTACCATTTGATAATTAAATATAGTTACACATACACAACAGATTTTAGAAAACAAAAATCAACGACGTACAATTTAGTCATTGATGATATTCTTTAATTTAATTTAAGCATAGTTTTAGCAAAACCCAATAACTAAATATACCTAAATATACATCTAAAAAAATGTGATGTGCAAGTTATGTTAAATTAATCTACTGTAACACGTCATGTTAAGCAGTTCAAATTTATTTAAATTAGCCTCCAAATTCATACAAAACATCTATACATTGTAATTTCCATACTGTTTCCATGAAAACATATCAATAACATTATTTTCATAACTTTAGACGCTTTAAAAAATCCAAAGCAGAGCCGGAGTTGATACAGCAACATTTATAGAAGCTTTTAGCGAATTTCCCATATAGGGAATAAGCTATTACCGTAGTACTCACGGTAAGACCTGGACCCGGGACCGATTTTTTTTTTTCGTTTTGAGGTCCCTAGAGGTCAAAAACACCATCCGTTCAAATTCATATATATATATATATATATATATATTTATATATATATATGTGTGTCCGTTAGCGCGATAACTCGAGCAAAAATGATCCGATTTTGATGAAATTTGGTACAAACGTGTAAACCTACGTTTATTCGAAAGAGTTCGCGAACCAGCATGATCGGACTATGGGAACGGGGGTTAATGGGGGCTTTTATGGGGTAAAAATGGGTTTTTCCCATTTTTGACCCAAAAAACATAAAATTTTGCAATTTCTTTCGAAACTATTTTGTAGAGCTTAAAAAAAACAAATAATTTAGTATATTGAAGCGTTATAATGCGCCTAATGGTTACAGAGAAAATTCCAAAAAATTGTAAATTTAAAATTCTCATGTTATTCTTATGGAGAATAAGTAAACTGTTGTAGTTTGCTTGTTTATAAACATATTTTGCCCAAATTTGCAAAATGTTTTTATTTCTTACTAACTATTAACATTTTACATAAAAAACACTTTTACCCTCCCTGTTGCAGCAAACCTAAGTATGTTTTAAACTGATTCTATTTAAATAGGGAATAAATGTGATAATTTTAAGGAGACATTTTAGTGTAAATCCATTCAGGGAAATGG